ACACACACACACACACACACACACACACACACACACAGAGAGAGAGAGAGAGAGAGAGAGACCAAATGAAAACTTAAAAAAATCAAATGCAAATACAAAAAAATTAATGCAAATTGCAAAATTTAATACAAAAATTAAGACAGTCACGTTAAGTATAGCAAAAACCAATCTGATTTTCTTTTGAATTCTGATTGATTTTAATGAGGGGTAGGTCTTTCTTTGTGATTCTTACTTCTTAGCTTAAATGGCAGAGTGATTTACAGGAATTTTACTATTCATCTTAAGCTCTTTTCTTTTCCTTTATCTTTAGCCTTTGACTGCTAAATTCTGCAGAAGTCCGTGTATCCAGAAGAGGGAGGAAAAGATCTTTAAGGAGGGCCAGATGGGAGCAAGGGGGAGGGGGCTGGTCAGTGGATCTGCGGGACATGAAAGCAAGAGAAAGCACAGCTACAGGGAGAGCAAAGGACTAGGAAGAGGAAAGGATGGATAGAGGTGGAAGAAGGAAGCATAGGAGAGCATGAGTTAAAATAAAGCGTGATGACACGTATGTGTGAAAGTGATGTAAGGAGACCCGGTGCTGTGTGTGCTGACTTAAAAGGGAGAAGATGGTGTTGGGCAATACAGCTCAGATGGTGGAATGCTTGCCAGGAACACACCAAGAACCAGGCTCTCAGCACTCGGCACGCCAGTCAGGGTGGCACGTGGCTATAATCCCAGCCCACAGGAGATGAAGACACATACATTAGAGTGTCCAGAAGATCCTGGCTACAGAGGGGATTGAGGCCAGCCTGTGATCCCCGAGATCCTGCTCCAAAAAGAAAGAGGAAGAGGAGAGAGAGGAGGAAGAAGAAACAGAAATTCTCAGTATTTGAATTGCTTTGCAGGGTGAAAAAAAAATCATTATTTAAAACATTTTTTTTTCTTTAATTAAAAGCTTCACTGGGCTGAAAAAGTGACTCAGTAGTTAAGAGTGCTTGCTGCTCATGAAGATTGGAGGTCAGAGCCCGATTCCAATACCATATGGCTAGCTTCTGAGGGTAACTGCACACACAAGCGCGCACACACATGCTAAATCTTACTCAGTCAAACAAAAACAAAGCAGAAAACTCTTCATGGCTAGAGAGATGGCTCAGTGATTAAAAGCATGTACTTCTCCTAAAAGGACCAGAACTCAGTTCTCAGCACCCACAATAGGCAGCCCACAACTGCCTGTAACTCAAGCTTCAGAGAATCTGACACCTCTGGATTCCCTGGGCACCTGCACTCATGTGGACAAAAACACATATACATATAATTAAAAAAATATTAAAAATAAGTATTAGGAAAAAATCCTTTTTATATTGGTGGTACATGCGTCTAATGCCAGTGCTTTTAAGCAGAGGCAGGAAGAATAGAGCAAATTAGAGCCCAACCTGATCTACATAGAGGGTTACAGGCCAGCACCCTGCCTCACAACAAAACAAAGCCAACCAAAAAGAGAGGCGAGAGAAATGACTCAGTGTTTAAGAATCCAGGGGGCCTGGATTCATCCTCAGCATCCATATGGTGGCTCACAGCTGCCAGTACCTATAGTCGTAGGGGATCCACTACACTCTTCAATCCTCTCTAGGCATCAGGCATGCATGTGGTACAAAGGCACATGTGTGAGCAAAGCACTCAAACATATAAATTTTAAAAAATTAGTAAATGGGAAGATGGTCAAGAGTGCTCAATTCAGTGGTTTAAGAGTGCTTGCTGCTCTCCCAGAGGGCCTGAGTAACTTCTTTGCATTGTAGAGAGAATCTCCTGTGTACTGTATGGAAGCATCACCACTCAGTAAAAAGCTGATGGCCCATTAGGTGAGGCAGGAAAGAAGGAGGTGAGAGTTCTGTCACCAAGAGATGAACTCTGGGATAGAGTGAGAGGCCGGAAGATTCGCTCCAGACTCTGAGGGAGATAGACTCATGAAACCAGGAAGTAACCAGCCGTGTATCACACATAGAATAGAATAAATGGGTCAAATAAGTTATGAGCTAGTGGGGGAACAAGCCAAAGCTTATGGCCTCGGCATTCATTACACAGACACACACACAAACACATAAACAAAAATAATTAAAATAAAAATTTAAGAATAAATAAATAAACACTCCTCCCCAAAATAGAAGTGGACATGGTGATAATCCCTCTACTCAGGAGGGAGAGCTTGAGGCAGTGCGATTTCTGTGAATCGGAGGCCAGCCTGAGCTATGAATACCAGACAATGAATACCAGACAAACCAGGGCTATACCAAAACACTGTCTCAACCAACCAACCAACAACCCACTTAAAATTTTGAAAAGCAAAGCAAAGCAAAACTAAAAACTATGCCTTCACAGAAAGTTGCAAAGAAGTGAGGAAAGAGTAACTGAATTCCACACCTCCCTGAATACCGACATATTTATAGTACAGTATCAAACCCAAGAAACTGATGTTGGCATAGCCCACAGAGCTTACTCAGATTTTACCACTTTAACATGTTAGTCAGAAATAAATATATCATGTTAATGCATTTTTTTTGTTATAGAAGAAAATGGCAGACCTTTTCAGAGAGGGTATCTCAGCTTGCAAAGATGTTACTATGTCAAGAACCAGTACACAAGTTTTTAATGACTTTTAAATATATTTAGTGTATAATAAATACGAATAACTCAAAGTTTTTTATTTTTTCATGGGCATTAATGTCTAGAATAGGAAGACAGAAAACACACTAAACATAATTGTATCAGCTAAGATTGCAATGAATGCTATGAAAAACATCAAGTAGCTTGAGAAGTATAATCCAAGAAGTTTTTTTAATTTGGGTGGTTAGAGGAAGCTTTTCTGAGGAGGGGAAATTCGAGCTGAGGTGGAATGATGAGAAGGCAGAGACATGTGAAAATCTTTAGAAAAAAGATCTAAAGATTTTTTGAAAATTATCTTGGAAATTATTGATAATATATCACAAGAAGGAAACATGGGTGTGCCTGTGGCTTGCCACCTAAACTCATGCTGAAATATAATTGGCTAAAAGCATTTTCACAAAGTGGCTGGGCACTTCAGAGGTTTCTGGATCATAGAGGCTCTACCATTAAGAAGGGATTAATATATTCCCTCACTGCACCATGAATTGGCAAGACATAGCCATGGCTCTCCTCTTTCCCCAGCCTGTTTGCCTTTGCATGAGCCTGTTTGCTCATTTTTCCTGCATCAGTTGACTCACATGGAACAGAGCACTCTACCAGAAACTCTGTAAGTTTGGACTTCCTAGCTTCCAGAGCCATGAGCAAATTACTCAGGCTCAAGCATTCTGTCGCAACAATATAAAATGAACTATGACAAGTAAGGGAAGCAAAGCAGAAAAGCTAAAATATATGTACGCAGGGGATAAATGGTTGAGGTTAGGATAGGATAAGAGGCTTCTACTCATTGTATCATAAGAAGTCACTGGAAAATTGTAGACACAAGAGAACCAAGATTAGATTAATATTTAAAAGACATACTCTCACGACCATCAGAAGAATGTTTGGGACAAAAGGTAGGAGAGAAGAGAGATTTTATCCACTAAGAGTCCGTTGCACTGGCTAGGTTGATACTGATGGGGTTGGGGAGCAAGTGGACAGAGTTCTAATTTGTCTATAGAAAGATATCAACAAGTTTGCTGTTTGAGCAGGTATGGGAGACAAGAAAAAGCTTTTGCTTAAAGCTAGAAGATGATAATTCTCTAATAACCTTTAGAATTATTCTTTAGCCTGTATAGTGCACGTATTGTTTAGGTAGAGGTGGAAAAGAAACGATTATATTTGTAAATTTGAGTGAGTGGTTGTCAGTTGCTGAGTAAAAGTTAGTATTGGAAATATAAACCTGGGAGTGATTACTGTCTGAATTTAAGAGTTTGACGAAATTAACATGAATGATATTATGGTATGCCAACTTATAGATACAGTGGAGGAACAGGGGTACTCTGTGCAAAGGAGAAAGACTGGGAGTACAGCAAACTCGGGTGCCACGGTGGTGTGTATGTGTGTGTGTGTGTGGACAATAAAGACAGGCCCTTGGGTTGAATGCTACTAAACAGCCAGATAAGAAAATGTTAGCCAGGCACTGGAGCTCATACCTATAATGCCAAAAGTTGAGGTGGGATTGCCATGAGATGGTGGTCAGCCTGGGTTACAATATGAAACCCACAATGTGAGACCCTATTTTGAAAAATAACAAGGCAAACAACATAAAAAGAAACATGTCGCTGGTCATGGTGGTGCAAGCCTTTGGTGCCAATATTCAGATATAGAGGCAGGTAGATCTCTGTGAGAGACTAGTGTGATCTACTTAGAGAGCTGCATGCCAACCAAGACTGTACAGTGAGACCCTACATTAAAAAAAAAAAAAAGCAGGAAGAAAGAAAATAGTCGTTAGAAGAGTGGCTGAAAATAAGCAACTTGGTGCAATTATGTGGAACAGAAAAGTACAGGAGAGCGAACAGATGGAGAGTGACTGTGGAATCTAAGTTAGATATAAGGGGAGGAAGGAGCTGAGAGGATGGTGCTGCCCCAGGCCTGCTTTTCCCTTGGAGTATCCAGGCTCCATTGTGTACTGGATGGGAGACTTGGAGTAAGTGATGTTTAGCCAGGGTTTGGCAGGATCTCCATTGATGTGAGTGTGGGAGAAACAGCCTTCTCTGCAGGCTGTTTTCAGTGAAACAGCTCTCCTTATTGCAGGTGAACAAGGGCTATATAGACCTTGGGGAGTGGGTAGAGGTTTTGGGGGTGAGTGTACATCATTGCCTGGGGCTGAGGTGCTGGGAATGCTTCATTTGCATGAAGAGGAATTCCAGGCCTCCTAAACACTGGGCAATTAGTCTGACAGTAAAGGCATATTTCACCCATATCATGGTTATGAAAGTACACAAGACAGTGGTTTAAGGATAACAATTCAGAGATTTCAGTGCCATGCAAACGTATAAAGGAACACTTAAAATTTATTTTCAGAAGTTCTCAATTATTAAATAGTATAAAAATAAACAAGCATTTGTTTTAAGACTTCTTCTTTGTATAAATTAACTTAAATACACATTTCTTTAAGGCGCCGTAACAGTCACACACCTAACCTGTATTTCTAGGTTCTGTCAACAGGTTGATATTCAAGCTGGCTTGTTTAAAGAAAAAAAAAAAACAATGACATTAAAAATTTCATACAATTTTTTCTGAAGTTGATTATTTTTCCATCTTAAACTTTTAAAGCACATAATCTTTGAAATGTTTTATAATTTCTTTGTAATGAAATAAATTTCTGCTTTCTCATCATAAGACACTGTCAGTTATTTACATAAATATCATAAGTATAATATTATCTGTAATCCATTCTTGATTTATAAGTTCTAATGCCTATAGCGCTTTGAATACATTTTCTTAGTAAATTAAGTTTTAGCTAATTAATAAAGCACCTACAGGGACTTCAAAATATCTAAGTGACAGTCTTTATAACATGTTTAGGTGAGACAATGTTCTCTGTAGTCTGCTTTATGGGTAAATTCCAAAGGTCTCAATTCTAAGTCTAAACTTCTCAATATACCATACAAAATTTTTTAAAGGCATCTCATCATTTTGTTTGATTATTTACACAGTAATTCAAAGAGGTAATCATAAAAGGCACATTGATTCTGACATAACTGCAAAAACAACACTTACAGGCTTAAACATAGTTTACAACAACAATAAAAGTCATAAAAGACACAATTATACTCAATAAATTAAGTAATATACAGTACCTCAGCTGATAATAAGATGCAGAAAACGATCATCATTATTGTTTTATATTTATTCCTATTACCCAGAGCTACCCATTAACTGACTTTGTTTTTAATAAGAAACAAATAAGTTTTAATAAGTTCTTGTTCTTCAGAACAAGAACTTAACTCTCTTGTCAACACCCCCCTATATTTCTAGCATCTTGGTAGGGGCTTTCTGTATAATTAATTATAGGTAGAAATTTCTGCCTTTTGCCTACAATAAATTTATTCCCCCAAAGGGGAGCTACATAATAGTCCTGAGCTGAGGTTTTCCTGAATGTAAAACTTCAAGTAGAGAAAATATTAACAGAGGTTTAAAGAGAGAATATTTGGCATTAAAAACCTGGAAAACAGTTTTAAAAAAATCAGAAAAAAAAAACACAAAACAAAAAACTGCAGTTTCTCATAGTAAATGACTACAGGAAAAGCAAATGAGAGATGCAGCATGCTGGACCCACACATTGCACCGTTTTAAGTCCATCTTGGAAAGTCATTAACCTCATAGAAAAAAAACCTGCTGAGTACCAGGCCAGCATCACACAAGGATCAGAAAGTGTCCTTCAGAAGTTTAACCCCAAATGTGATCTTCCACTTGAAACCCTTCTTTGTTCTTGGTTATTCTACTTGTAGAATCTTTTGTTGCAATAGATTTTGCTGGCTACTACTCACAAACAAACTCCTTAAAGACCATACTTATACTTTAAGATAGAACACGAGGGTTCCACCACCTTCCTACATGGGCATTCTGACTTACAAGGAAGGTCTAATTGTCATGGTAATGAGCATTTCACTATTACTGAGAAAAGAAAATCTCTGGCCTAGTGTTTTAATCATCAATCACAATATGATTTCTACTAGTTATATTGGTCTGGGCACAAGACTGCCAGCTTAAGAAAGTAAGAACTTTCAAAAGTGATTCAAACTCTGAATTTAGAAAATTCAAATTAATTGTTTCAAGATTGTTTTAGAAAACAAAATCATTGGCAGTATGTGCCTTAAATGTTCATTTAAAACTGAACCATCTTGTTTGATGAGATAAAGACATGCAAAATTACTTTAAAATTCCACATTAAGCTGCTCCTAATGTAGTAAGGAAGACAGTAATAATCAACAGTTTAGATACTTGCAGCATTTTTCATCTTGTAACAGCATTTAAGTATTCAAACATCTTTTCTTTGTTCTTATTAAAATATGCCATGAGCTGAAATTCAAGTAATCAAAATTCATTTTTTTCCCACTGGCTTATGCAGAAGAATGAAAGCCATTCCCCCCCCCTTTCACTTGAGGGCATCATATATTTAAAGGACAAACACATGAATCTTCACAAATGTAACATTGTTCCGGAACATTGCCTTCTGTTATAGAAGATGTTAAGTGAGAAAGGCATTCAGTATAAATATTAAATAATTAAATTAAATTGTTCACATAAATAAATAAATACGATCCATAATAGACTTCTACAGCTCAGTTGAACGTCTTTTGATCAGCACTGTAGGGTTGATGTCATCTAGTCTGGAGTGGGAGGCACTCGCGTTGATGGTGGCTGTTTTGGTAGGCTGTGGAGCCTGCACGCTGAATGAAGTGAAGGGACAGCCCTTCACATTATTGCAGATGAGAGACTGAATTGAGGCAGTGTTGATGATCTTAAAACCTGCTTCTCCTCCAAACGTGCTTGGCTTCCAGTACTGAGGAGAGCAGATGGGATTACCCATAAGTCCTTTCAAGGAGAATGGTGCTCCAAGTTCTACCATGGTCTCCCCGAAGATGGCGTCTGGACGAGGCTTTTCCACCAGCAGGGCAGGGTACAGCTCCATGGCATCGATGTCACCGTAGAGGGCTTTCAGCTCGGTGGCCATTTCCTTCTCTCCTGGAAGGTGAAGAAGATAGAGATACAGACGTGTCAAACAGAGAAAAGTGAAAACAGTTCTGGGCGCTGAGTGCAGGTTTCCCCTGCTCACTAGCCCGCTGTCATTCCCTCTCCTCTCTCTCTCGGTCAGCTTAGTCCTTTTCTGTTATCAGAAGAGGAAGATAGTTCATCCCGTCACTAAATTTGCTCTCCCCTCTCCCATTTAATCCCTGATCCCTTTTGAAATTTCAGAAACCATCTCTCACCTGTAAGTTCTTCAAATGATGTGTAAGGCTTCAAGGAGAAACGTTTGCGGTATTCATTGAGAGACTGGTATTTCATCTCTCTGCTCTGGTCAATGGAGGCCTTTGCCACCGCCTGTACTGCGACTGGAACGTTCCTACCCCCGGCGACCTGAGGGAAGTGAGTAACGCCATGAGATTCTTAGGGATGTGGCTGTGGCCTTCCGTCTTGACCTCATCACCTCTAGTCTGTAACCAACTTGTCTTTTTACGATCAGAAAAAAATAAGCTGAGAGACAAAAGTCTGAATGTATACTTTTGTAATCTATCAGATGACCGAAAGCTTTTTAAAATACTAGTTTTAAGATAGACATGTGTCATTATTTGCTTGGTAATTGTAGACTAAAACCAGAGCCTTTCGAAAACCTTCCAGTCTTCACGTTTCAAGAACCAGTAGGTCATCTGGGCCTTCTTTTAGTAAAAGGAAAAAAAAACCCTATCTTTCTGACAGAAGTCCTGAAGCTACTGACCAGCCCGCTGCTGTTGCTTTTCAGGAACGGTGCTTACCCGACCAGCAATCTGTCTGGTGAACGACTCGACGAACCGCGCGAGCCCATGCTCCAGGAGGATGGAGTTGTTGTAGAGGAACTGTTTGAAGCTGTACTCCTCCTCCTGGATGTGAAAGGTGTCGGGCAGCAGAGGGTGCCAGTGATAGAGCGTGTTGAATTCGGCGGCGATGCGGTTCTGATACTGGAACTGCTGGCTGAAAAGCAGCTCCGGGTCAAACTTGAGTTTGAAGTGGTACCCGCTCAGGTGCTGCACGTAGTCTTCAATCACAATCTTGATGGTCTCTCCTGTGGTGCGACACAGAGCGTTTATTCCCCTTCCTGACTCACCGTGGGTAAGCGGCCAGCCGCGTTCCCTCTCGCTGTTCACGGGAGAGAGTCAAGGACCTTTCCTCGGGGAGATGGCCCCACACGTTTCCACTGCTCACCTATCAGAATGAGCCTGCTGGTCTGGAACAACCGCTCGTCCTCCCACTCGGGGTGCTCCTGCTTGAGCACGTCGCACACTCGGTTGTGCTCCCGCAGCCAGATAGTAGCATACATCATCAGACCCGGCACCAGGCCGAAGACTTCCTGGCCCACAGCGAACCGCAGGTGCTCGGGGATGTGGGGCGGGTAGATCATCTCGGCCTGGGTGTCTCTCACTGTGGGAGGGTACACCTCTCCATCGATGAGCTGAACCACACAGCAATAATAACAGAGTTAAACGCGCGCACAACTAACGGTGTTAAAACCTAAGTCTAAACAGCAGGTGAGAAGTCCTAAAATGTACGGGAAAGTACCTGATATTTCAGTTTTCCATCCTTGAAAAGACGCAGTTTATGTTGTCTGTCTAGAGTTTCACCGTAAATGTGATTTAAGTCCACCTAGAAAATTATGGAGAAATTTCAATTTACTGATATCTTACTATCATTTGTTATTAATTTTTAAAAATTTTTAATTTTATTTTTTTATATGTATGAAGGCATCAAATCTCCTAGAACTGATTGGAGCTATAGCTGTGCACTAAGATGCAGGTGCTGGGAGCTTAGGCTGCAAAAGCAAGTGTTCGTAACACGGAGTTATCCCAAGTCCGACAAAGGATTCTTTCCTGGCCACAAACTTATTCTACAATAAGTTGTCTACCGGAGCTACAAACCTGCATATCTTTTTATGTCAGTGATATTAGTATCTTATATTAAGTATGCCATGTGACTCATTAGAACCGTGATAGATATTTTTATAGTATTTAAAGCAGCATGATCAGGGTACTTTTTTTTTTTTTTTTTTATGGAGGGCAGGGCCTCTGCTTCAATGGCAGAGTCCATTGTCTGAAAGCACAAAGCCCTAAGGTTCACTTCCCAATGCTAACAATAATTAATAATTTATGCTGGAAGATATAGCATTTCCATATACCAAAACTTTAAACTTAAAATGTAAGAAAAATTACATTAAATACTTTTATGTGTCTGTTTATTTTTACTAAACTAGTAAATGGAAGTGGAACACTCTATTATGATTTTAGTAGACATGACATTTGCACAAAGCAAAGAAAAATGGGTGTGATTTGTTTGGCCTGGCGAGATGTCGGCATTTCCTAAGGATTTGCTTGAATGCTGAGTGAAGCCCACTTACTCCATGGCCCAGTCCTCTGGTGAACCCAGGTCCTCGCTTCTGATCTGTCTTGAAAAACTGATGGGTGAAATGCTGGGCAAAGAATGCAAACATCATGTTTGTGCCTTGGGGATCAGGGATGAACTTTCTCCTTAGAAGAACTTTTTCTACAACTTCTTTTGAGTCAGGAAGCTCCTTATTTCCTAAAACACCAGAACCTTGAGGTAAAAATCCATTCACATACTTGTTCAAGCAAACAGAGTACTGTCTAATTCATTCGTTACTTATAACATCGTCTCAAAGAGGATCACAACGTCAATAACATTGCTTTGCTTTGAGGCACAGTGTCGTGCTTGTACCCTAAGCCGGGCTGACACTGGCTCTCTGGCCTTGAGCATATGGGTGAACCTTCGCCTTACAGATTTACCAGCAATGAGTTATCTCACCCAGACTACATATTCAAGTTCTAAGATATTGGGGGAACAATTTATGGAATAGTTTTAATCAACTTTAACTAACGTCAATTCTATTTAGCACAGTACAATAAAATTAAGACATCATATCAAAATGAAGAGCTGTTTTTATGGAATAGATTTACACTGTTAAAAAGCCTCTCTGGACAACCATGGTAAAGCCAAAACCACTACAGTTTTAAATAAAAGGCAGTCTGAGGTCAAGTTTTCTAGATGCACATCCAGCCCTCAGTCCAACTGCTACCTCTCCGTGCACTCACCTTTCACACCCATGGGAGTTGGGCAGTCATTGGCTACTGGAGGAAGGACCCTGGTATAGTAGGAGAGGTTGGAGAAGGCTTCCCAGTTCTTGTAACCATAGTGCACATTGTAAGTTGGTGGACTGTCAATCAAATGTGATCTGGCTGAAATTTTAAGGAAAAAAAAATTATTGGCCCTTGTATGAAAACACAAGTGAATGACAATTACCGTTGTGCAATGTGGAAAACACAGAGGTTGGATTTAATTCAGACCAAGATACCCTGCTTTACGATGATGACCCTTTCAAGGGCAACTGAAAATGCATCTTCAAGAAAGCTTCAGACCCACAGAGGACGTTATGCTCCAGTAGGCTTGATTTTTCAGATACCACCCCCTCCCTATTCCGTATCTGATGACCGATACAGTCAGGCATGGCCCTCACTTAGAACTATAGAGCGTTATTTCCCCTTCTGACCCAAGCCCCAATCAACCATTTGTTTTAAAGGGTGCTGTGTGTTCATAACAATTCTGTGAGCCATGTGTATTCAATAAGCAAGGGAACCACGCTTCCTCCACAGGAATAAAGGTCGGGGGTCATCAATAGAATCCAGACTAGTGGCTCACATGATAGTATTTTAGACATTTTTTTTTTGGGGGGGGAATAGATTAGGTATATTTCAAGCCATTTTGGGAAGGTTGGGACTATTCATTGGGGTTGAGTTTCTAGAGCACATTTTTGTCGGAGGCTACTGGAAACAAGGGAGGTTATTACTTACATGTCAACACATATCTCATGATTGAATTTCGCAGGAAGGGAATGTTATTCACAATGTTCCAGACTCCCTTGAAGTGGGTCAGGATGTAGTGTACTGTGTTTGGGGTGGGTTTCAGCAGCAATTTGATCCTTGTCAGAAACTCAGCTGGAGGGAGAGGAAGCAGGAGGGGGAACTGAGTAGGCGCCCCTTTCCACACGGAACACAAATCTACAAACTGATGGTTAACTGTATGTGGCCCCATTTCAAAGGAAGAAACCCCAAGAACAACTTACGTATGGTACAGTTTTCACCGTAGAATCCTGTCCGGGTACAATCACATTTATACTGGTCAAATCCTACGCTCATACATTCGCCGCGGTTTTGACATGGGTTGGAACAGCAAGGATTTGCTACATTAAAAAATAATAATAATAATAATAAGATTGCTTGTCAGTCACTCTTGGCTGTAGAGGCTGCTTAACTTCATAGCTCACATTATCTAACATTATCACAGTAACTTCTCAGATGTTCAGATGAGAATTTTTAAGTTGCACTTTAGAAATTAAAATGGATCGATCTTGTATATTTGTCAAAATTCAGTGTAAAGAAAAAAATCACAGTAAAACAGTCACTTTTAACATTTTGAATAGCTTTTTTAAAAAAACTGTATTCCGGACTTTCCTGTGGGCAGAAAAAACCCCGGCAGGTATTTAAAGCAATCACTCCTATTCAGTCATCCACAGACATGCACTTCACAAGTATTGATCAGCAACTGTCTTGCTTTAATGGCAACCTGCAAACTATTATGGCTATTGGTTTTTAGCAAGTGAGAGTGGCTCTCTGCTCCGTTGCATAATTGGCCCCTAACCTGAGAGGCGGTGGCAAAACCCTGGCCATCCTTGCAGTCCCCGCGGACTCAGGTGGTCCAGATTCTTTGCCCCTGCGCAGCAGCAGCACTGCGGAGAGTGTGAGCCAGAGGAGCGCTGCGGGCGCCTTGGGGCGTGGGGTCACTCACCTGCACGGCAGAGCGCCAGGGCGACGCAGAGCAGCACAGCTCGGACTAGCATCGCGGAGGTGGCGGCGGCAGCGGTGGCGGTGACGGTGGCGGCGGAGCTGGCGGGACGCAGCGCTGAAGTCTTCCTGGGCAGACTCTTGATATTCCTGAAGCTCTCCGCTCGCAGTTTGACAACTGACTGCTAACGGGGGAGAACCTTGCTTTTAAGTCTGTGAGGTTCCCCTCACCCACCCACAACGTGACGTTGGTGGGATGACGCTCTCTTTCCGCCCGGTCTTTCCCCCAACCCCCAACAGCTTCATCCATCTCAGTCAACGAGTTGTGCAAGGCCCGACCCACGCATCGGGAGACCAGGAAAGCCGGGAAAGCTCGGCGGCCGCAGGTGGTGCCACGGAACTGCGCCACTCTCCCGCAGCCCTGCCGGTCCACTGTGCCCGCGTCCACGCTGGTTCTTTTTGGGGTCCCTGGCTTCCTTTCGGTCCTGCGCTCCAGATGAGGTCCGAGGAGCGCGATGTCACAGCTTCCCCTCCGGGGATCCGAGGTCCCAACGCAGGGAATCCCCGCGCCCGCCCCCAACTGGGGCGCAATCGGACGAGCGTGCTGTTCGGAGCGCGCGCACAGCTACCGTTTTATTTAAATTTATTTCGTGTTTAATGAAATGAGAGGGCTGACGTCAGGGACCACATCTGTACCGGTGGAGTTAGCGTGAATTCTCTCACAGTAAAGACCCCAGTCCTAAGGTCTGCAGTCCCATCAGCCCCAGGCACCCTCACTTCTTAGAGACAGATGCTGAGCTCTGCTTCATCGGAATGCTAAGTGCCCAAGGCATTGCTTTAAAGTATTTTTTTCCCCTCCCTGTTCTTACATAGTATCATTTCGGTCAGCAAATCTTTTCACAGTACATAGTGAATAGCTCTAAAAAGAATTCTGTTTTTCAAATGTACTTTTTTTTTTTTTTTAACCTTTTGTGTCCCTCTTTTCAAGAAGGTGTATTATGGCGATGAATAAAAAGATAATACTTTTTTTTCCGTAACTGGCCTTACTCTGGCTAACTTTAAAAAGCTTACTTCGTTCTGGAACATTGTTTGATAAGAAAGTAATTGCATCGAAAGGTAATTTTTGACAGCTTTGAATGTCATTCTGCTGTGTTTGGCAGGGGCATGTGAGGCTGGAATAGTGAAAAACGAGCAAAATAAGAAAGTGAGGCAACTAAACAGTCAATTAAACTGACAGCCTTAGCATGAATGGAGAAAAAGATGACACAATCTGAAATTAAGCTATATTCTCAGGAAAATTAAGCCAGGAAAATGGTTTGAGGAGCGCTGGGCAATAGCAAGACCCCTGCTCAAAACAAAACAAATATAAGGAGAGAAAAATAAAACGACGGGGAAACAGAAACATGAGAAGCAACACTTAGGAAACTATACCAAACACCGTAATACATGGAAGTCGTGCAAAAAACAAGAATAAAAAAAATCATGGAATTTTTTTTTAACTGTTTGCTTCATGAGCATGCTAATTTGATTCTACATGAGACATAGTGACTAAAATTCCATGTCACCCAGGGCCTTTGTTCTAGTCATGTTTAATCATTCCATCTATGGCACTCCCAATTTTTTTTTTCAGTGATTCCTGTGTGAAATTTCAGCTAAATGTGCAGACTGTTTCCTTTTTGGTAACTTCTGTAAATAGTTCTTGTTTTCTGTTTTATTTTAAATGAGTGGATTGAATGTGCTTGAACTGTGAGTTTATTATCTAATAAACTAATATACTAACATCAGGTAGGAAGCATATAAAAATCCATACTCTTAACTCTTGGCTGTATACTCAAATCTTACAGCGTAGTCTTGAATTGGCCTTGAGTGCCCCATCCTCTTCTGATATTAGTTGTATACCTACTACATTGAGAAGTGTATTCTGATGTTTGAGAAGAGATTATGACAAAGGGGGAAAAAAGAACAGTGGATGTGTCCATTGTTCAAAATATACTTTGTTAGTGTCCAAATGTTTTGGAGAAACCCCCCAAAAGAAAAAAAGGTAACATATTAATATCTTTGAGAGCACTCTGTTGCATTTTACTGCTGTCTTCTGCTACTTGAATTTTCAGAAACCCCCCCTCCCCAAGATGCTAGGTAGATTTTTCAGTAGATTTTACTTCTAGTTTTATATGTTCTTATATAAGCACACATGCAGTGTTTATATTATATATAAATTTTATGTATGTACTGGAAAGAAATGAAATTTTTTGTGTGTTTGTTTTTCAAGACAGGGTTTCTCTGTGTAGCTCTGGCCATCATAGAACTCAATCTGTAGACCAGGCTGGCCTCAGAGATTTGCTCATCTCTGTCTCTTGCATGTTGGGTTACTACAGTTCACGCTTGTTTTCTAAATATCTAAGAGTTGGAGTAATTTGGAGCTAAAATAAAATATTTGAGCAGGGAGGTGATACCCATGCTTTTAATCCTAGCAGAGACAGGCGGAACTCTATAAGTCAGGTTTTCTCTAAATTCTAGACTTAAAATGAACAGCATGGTGATGGTTCACACCTTGAATACCAACATTTGGGAGGCAGAGGCAGGCATACAGGATTTAAATTTACAGTGAATTAAATTTAAAAGGCAGGCTGAAATTAAAAGTGAATGTCTTTTGTGATCTAAAAATAAATATACCTAAAGGTATATTTGGTTTCAAATTTTCAATTTTTTTATTTCAGTTGAGAGATAATATATTTTCTATTGCCAAAAACCATTTTGCCCTATGAAAGATATAATCTGCCCCACAAAGGAAACCCCCCTACCCCCAGAGTTAGGGTTGGGACAGGGTTTTGCTTTTATCTTTCCAGGAGAACTTAAGTATCCAACTAAGGAATCTGGATGCCAGTGGATAAATGAAACATCTGAAGAAAAAGGACCAGATACCAAAGAAGACAAGACAAGTATCCCAGATGATCCAGGCCCACAGATTGCCTCAACAGCTGTTTCCTTAAAAATTTGCATCCAGGACAACTTCAAAATGTCTAGCTAAGATGATCTAGTCTCACAGACTGTTCTGGTCAGGACTTCATTTAAGCCTGCCTTTTCCACAGCAAATAGAGACCCAACTGCAAATGAACAGCTAGCTTTCTTAAGACTTGACCATTTACCCAAATTCTTGGGTCTCCTAAAAAGAAATTATGTTTCAAGTCAGCAGGAAGGAATTTTTTTCTTTTTTAAAATTTGTTTATTACAATTTATTCACTTTGTGTCCTGGCGTAGCCCCCTCCATCTTCTCCCCCTATGCCCTTTCCCTACCCCACTGATAAGGTAGGACCTCTTCCCATTCTGTCTGACCTTAGCCTATCCAGTCTCATCAGGGCTGGTTGCATCATCTTCGTCTGTGGCCTGGCAAGGCTGTACCCCTCAGGGGGAGGTGATCAAAGAGCCTGACACCAAGGTCATGTCAGAGACAGCCCCTGCTCTCCTTACTAGGGAACCCACTTGGAAACCTAACAGCCTATGGGCTTCCTCTGAGTAGGGGGTCTAGGTCTTCTGCATGCATGGTCCTTGGTTGGAGCATTGGTCTCTGCAGGACCCCCTGGGTCCAGTTTTTTTTTTTTGACTCTGTTGGTCTCCTTGTCCCCTCCGGTCTTTCTATGTCCCTCTTCTTCCATAAGTTTTCCTGCACTCTGTCCAAAGTTTGACTATGAGTCTCAGTATCTCCTTTGATACCCTGAAAGGTAGAGTCTTTCAGAGGACTCCTGTGGAAGGTTCCTGTCTGTTCCTTGTCTTCTACTTCTTCAGAATGTGGTATCATTCTTTTAAAATTGCTTCCTGTCTTTCACCCTTTCCTTCATCTGTGTGAATGTGGATTCTTGTCTGTCTGTGATGGTCTCTATTTTTTGTTGTTGTTCTTCATTTCTTCTTTATGTGCCTCTATTTTTTGTTTGTCTCTTCTTTATGTGCCTCTAATAACTGTGTAATTATAGATTTAAGATAATTTCTCTGTATTTCAGCAAGAAGCAGGGTGAGTGGTTTCTTGGTTGTTTATGGGAGGTGAATGTCTATTGTCATTTAGGGGGATTAGTTACAAGTTGTTAATGGTCTTGATTAGGGAGGAAACAAGATATAGGAGGTTAGACTGAGGAATTTCTCTCTTTCTTTTTCTTTCTCTATGCTTCTTATGTAGAGAGAAGAGGGTTGAAAAAAAGAGGGATATAGAAATAATATAGGAATAATAGGAAAAAGGGTAGAATCTCTTTTTATAGATCTTTGTATATTGATACAAAGTTAAGATTATATTTGGTTACATCGTTATAGATCTTTGATATTAATACAAAATTAAGGTTATATGTTTGGTTACATTGATATAGATATTTGTATATTTGTATATTGATATAAAATTAAGGTTATATTTGGTTACATTGATATAGATATTTGTATACTGATATCAAATTAAGGTTATATTTTGGTTACAACATACCATGTATTAACTCTTTTTAAGGTATTGTACAAATGTAATTCTTTTTTATTTTTAATGTAATTTTATTTATATCTTTATTTATTACAATGTATTCATTTTGTATCCCTGCAGTTGCCCCGCCCTCATCTCCTCCAGTCTCACCCACCCTTCCTCTTCTTCCCCTCTGCCCTTTCCCTAGTTCTCTGTAGGGGAGGTCCTCCTCCTCTTCTATCTGACCCTAGCTTTAAAACTGCAATGTGTTTTAGTCTTTTTAAAAGCGATTATCACAAACTGTTTGGGATAATTAAGAACTACAAGTTAATAGTCAGTCAATCAAATTCTTGGTCATGTTGAATACTATTTTAGTTAATTACAAAAATATGTCTCTTATATTAAACATATAATAAATAGTTATAAACAAACAATTCAAATATAATATAGATACAAAGATGGTCTTCAAAACCTCAAAGATCTACAGAATATGGTATTTAAAGATATTTTATTAATTTAAGGCTTTTGTGACAATGGGGCAGGTTTGCTCCTGGTAGTACCCCTATTTTGCTTCAAAGAGCATCAAAGCACCTCCATATGGAGTTTGCTTCATATATGACAAGCTAGCCACTGGGCTAGAAAATGCTTGTCTAGCTTGATTCAACTGCAGACAGTTTGTCCAAAATGGACAAACTGGACACAGAAAAGTCAACTGCCAAGCTTTGCAAGGAC